TTAAAGATCTGCACCAGCAAAGTCCAGAAGTTACGGTGAAGAAGACGAAGAAAAGAAAGGCCACTTCAGAAGGACCATCTCAGCAGACCCCTAAGAAGAAAGGTAATCTATCTGCTGCTCATGTTTTAAATTCTTCTGCTATTCCAACATCAATCCCAACCCCAGCTTCACATGAACTTCCAATCCCCATACCAACCATTGATGAAACCGAACCAGAGGATGACCCTTCTGAGTCACTGACTCTCAGGATATCCCGCACCAAAAATCCAAAACCCACACCATCAATAGAATCAGAACTTGACAAAGTTCTTTCTGAAATTGATCAACGTTCTTCCGCTCCACTCTCAGAAAATCCAAACACTCAACAAGAAATTGCCCCCTCTCCTCAACCAGAACATACTCTCTCACCCATACCAGAAGAACCACAATTTCCACAACAACCAGAAATTCCACCTCCTTCTCCACAACTAGCAATTCCTCCTCCCTCTCCACAACCAGAACTTCCTCCACTTTCACCTCAACCATCACCTCCACAACCTGAGTTTCATCACTCTGAAACTCCATCACCTGAACCTCATTCTCCTCAATCCTCTGAGCCACAACCCTTGGCAATTCAGCTGCCATGTGGTACAACTATAAACATACCCCAGCTGCCATCCTCACCAGAAACTACCCCTCCAAACACTCCAAACAGTCCAATAATCATTTCTGATTCTCCCACTCCATCTCCCAAACAAAATACTGAAGACCACAGCAGGACCTTTATTGATTTAACAAGCTTTAACCGTCTTGCTGACCTTAAACACAAAATAGCCATCCCCAAACCCAAACCATTAGATGTTGGTGCTGGCATTTTGATTTTGAAACAGGCTTGCAGAACTGGATTGCTTCTCTAAAGCAGGTTTGTCCTGGAATGATTGACCCTGCCGCTTCATACCATCTCTGGACTCAATTCAGAAAGTGGGTACGCGCTGAAGCCCTCAAGCTGCAAGACATCAACTATGAACAAGCCCAGCAGAACTTCAGCAAACTGCTGAAGGAAGTTGAAAGTCAGCTGCCACAGGACGAAGTGCTCTTTCTGGATAGTGAGCCATGGTCTGAGAAGCGTCCAGCTTCTAAAGTTTAGCAAGCAGAAGATCAGACAATCCAAGCTGAAGAGGTTAGTCAAGCTGAAGATGTTGCAGAAAGCTCTCAGAAGCTTCCTGCTTCTGACGTTTCTCAAGCTGCCTTGGACAGGCAGACTCTAGAAGAGCTAAAGCAGAATGATATTCGTCTGCAGCAAAGAATGGATGAGAATGATCAGAAGATGAAGGAAAGGATGGATGTGCAAGACAGCAAGATTGATACAGTAGTCAGCATGGTGCACAAGCAGAATGAAACTGCTGATCAGATTAAGACAATGCTATAGACTCTGTTCACACGCTTTCCACCCCAACCTTAGATTTTCATTCATGATATTTTCATTGTTTTCCTTGCATATCATCTGTACTGTTTGTCTGGCTCTGAATTAAATATAACAGTTTTTCTGCTCTGATCGTTTTAGCTTATATTACTTACACTTTTTGATTGCTGACAAAAAGGGGGAGAACAAGAATGATATTTTTCAATAACGGATTACTGAGACAAAAAGTCTCAAACATTCTAACACTCTGATATACTTGAATGTTTTCTGTTTTTGCATAAGGCTACAGGTACAAGAAGTTAATCATCTCTGATACACTGAAGCTCTGATATTCTGATCTGAAGCTCTGATATTATGATGTTCAAAGAAAGTCAATAAAGATCTGATCCTGAAGAACTCTTGGAATTAAAAAGGGAAGTAATAAATTCAGGGGGAGTGTCTCCGATCTAAACTCTGATATCTCTTTATCCCTCATATTTGATAACTTCCTAACTAATTCTGATACAACTTATTATTTAGTTATCTCTGATACTTTTCACGTTAATTTTCAATTAAAAATATCTAGTTTTTGTCATCATCAAAAAGGGGGAGATTGTTAGAACAAAGTTTGAATCTACTACCCTAAGTTTAAGTTTTGATGATAACAAAATGCTAAGATACATTAATTGTATGATTCATGTAAGACTCATATGCTATCTAAAAATTACATTCTGTTTTACAGAAACTCTGATGCGTATCAGCAAGAGAACATCATCATCAGCATTAGAAAATGGGATATCAACATCAGCATCAGAAGATGTTATATCAGATACCAGAATCAGAAGATCAACTTGCGCTTACGCTGAAGCTTGATGAACAGATCTGCGCTTAACAATCTGGACTCTGATCAAGACAACAGTTCATCAACACCTAAGCAACGTCAGAATGAGCCAAAGCCAGAACACATTTAAGTGGCAACGGTACTGTGCATTCAAGATGATTTATTACCAACGGCATCATTCCAGACAAGATCTGCTTAATAAGGAAATAATGTTATTGGCATTGAAACAAAATTACTACTCCAACGTACCTTATTTCCAATGCTATATAAACAAGTCAATGAAGATTGAATTGGCTAATGCTCTACAACACTCTACACGCCTAAAGCTATTCATCATCTTCCTCACTCTCAGTTTGCTAAAAGTTCTCAAATTCTTTACTCAATTATTTTAGCACTCTAGTCTCATAAGCTTAAATTGTGTAGTATCACAGTTGTGATAAATAGTTTTTGTAGAAAACATTCACATACCTAGATTTCAATTCTTTGTAAGAAAGTATTTCCTTTAGAAACCGGTTTGTGGTTTGACTCAAGAAGGCTTTAGCAGTTGTTAAAGAAGTTGTAATATTCAGTTGAATATAGTGGATTAAGACCTCGTTGGAGAGAGGAGAAATCACCTTGACGGATGGACTGGAGTAGTTTGAGATCAAACGAACCAGGATAAAAATACCGTGTTGACTGCAATTGATTTCCAGTTTTTACAATTCAACCCTCCTTCTTGTGTTTTTCACTTCTTCAGTTTCCTCATGTTGTGACGTGAAATTCACGTCGCAAATGAGTGTTTTTTGTAGTGCTGGTTGAAGCTCTCAATGAAGTATGAGTTATAAGGTTGGCATCTCAATCTTTATATCTTCTCTTTTTACTTACTTGAGTAACCTTAGAATGAGCTGAAGTTTTTTGAACTCCATACAGTTTGTAACAGAAAGGCTTTATATGACCATGCTCACCACAATAATGACATTTCCAAGATATGGATTAGAATTCAGTTGAAGTTACATCATGTCTACCAGGATATTGTGACATGTGGATGAACATATTGACCATTCTTTTCTATTCGGAAGGAAATAACTTTTCTACATATCTTTTCTTTGTTGATTATCAAATGAATGATTAACCCCTGTATCTTCATCCTCTTTCATCATATCAACTCCATTTTTAATTCTATTCAAAGAATCTATCATGTTATTAGGATTTGAATGTAAGAGAGTTACCTCATTCTGTAGATGAGAGACAGTGCATAGAAGTTCCTTCTTCTCATTCTCCAAATCAGCTATGATCCTTTTCTGATCTTTTACTGTCTTAAGATTTTCTTCGCAATTGTCCCAAGTTTCCTTGTAGAACACATCCAGATTTTCATATAGATCATTTTCATCACAAGATTCTACCTCATCTGTCCATCTTCCAGCAAGAGAAATAACAAGCTTGACAGTCTATGAGTTAGAATCATCTTCTGACTCATTATCATCAGACCAAGATGCAGAAAGTCCCTTTTTCGGTTTCTTGAGATAGGTTGGACATTCTGGCCTAATGTGACCAAATCTTTCACACTCAAAATATTGAACACATTCGCTTTGATTGGACTTCTCTTCAGTTCTGATATTTTTCTGAAAATCATCATCATTGCTGATGTCAGATGAGATCTTCCTGACATTAAGTCTTCTTTTTTTGTCCATTCTTTTCAGAATTCTAATTAATTATTTTCCAAATAATACAATGGTATGTGACAATTCTTCCCCAGTGTCTAAATCTAAGTGACTCTCTTTATTTTCAGAATTTGATTAAAAAACTATGCTTTTGTAATTAGAAAATTTGTTATATTAAAAGATATTTATATTTTATTAAAAAGATATTATATTATAATCAAAAGTTAAATATTATTAATAATTAATAATATTAAAATATATATATATATATATATATATATATATATATATATATATATATATATATATATATATATATATATATATATATATATATATATATATATATATATATATATATATATATATATATATATATATATATATATATATATATATATATATATATATATATATATATATATATATATATATATATATATATATATATATATCATAAGAAATTTAGAGTATTGGATTATTTCAGTGCGTACGGATATCTACATCTGAAATTTAAGAGTATTTTGGATTTTTTGCGAGGAAGCTGCAAAAAGACACCAAAGTTTAGAAAGAAATTCTCTTGAAATTTTTAGCAGCACTGATCCAAACTTGGCAAAACCTATCTCAATCCAACTTATTTCTACCCCTATGTGCAACCATAAAATTATAAATAAAAAATAAAAAAATCATAACCAACTGAGCAATTTATAAAAATGAAAATAATTTTTGTTGGTTAGCCGTCTAATGTAAAATATAGTGAAGAATCAAATTACAACAAAAGTGTTAGTTATTAAGAATCCTTTAAAAGAGTTATACTAGTAAAATTTATAAATTTAGGAAGTTTCTATGCAAAGCCTTCAAGTTTTGTTCATTAATCAAATGTTTTCACACATGCATAAAATAATAAAAAATCCGCGTCATTGCAGGAGGGAAGAGCAGTTAGCAACAAAATTATTGAGTCAAACAAACAATATTTACTTCAATAATAGTACTCTTTCTATTAATATTAATCAAACAATATTTACTTCATTTTTGAAAGGGATGGAGTATATTGTTATTTCCTACATGTAGCTGTTATAAAGATGGGATGGGAGTATTGGAGGGAAGTGCAGTTAGCTAGCAAGTGAAAGAAACAAACATGGCAGGTCTTGCTTGTTGCTCTAATCCACCAATTCTGGACCCTTTTAGTGGAGTTGGCCATGTTGAAAAACTTGGTGGCCATAATGTTTATCTTACCGGCTCTCCTCTTTCCATCATCGCCATTCTCTTCGTCTCCGATATTTATGGATATGAAGCCCCAATTACAAGGTATAATGAATGATCAAACATAATCGTACTATGTTAGTGTTTGAAACCAGCGTGACACGTCTTCAATCTAAAATGTCGTACTATGTTAGTGTTTGAAACCAGCTCGCGTGACACGTCTTCAATCTAAAATGTCAGTACTACATGGTAATATTATACCGTCGTTGAAGCCAACAGCGATGTAGAAGTGTACTAATATATAAAACTCATGGTTTATAAAGTAGCAATACTAGATCATAGTTAGATTTTTTAATTTTTAATTTTCATAGATGATGAATTTTTTATATAACAATTTGATATTTTGTGAAGGAATCTTGCTGACAGGGTTGCAGCATCTGGGTATTATGTGGTGCTTCCTGACTACTTCAATGGCGATCCATTTGATCCTGAGAATCTTGACAGACCTTTACCTATTTGGATGAAAGAACACCGACCGGTTAGTACTTTTTGAATCATATTTCCTTAATAGAATTTTGATAACACATGATCTTTGGTGCTTACATATTAATTTTATAGGACAAAGGTTTTAAAGCGTCACAACCGATAATTGAAGCCTTGAAGAGTAAAGGAGTTTCTACTATTGGAGCTGCTGGTTTTTGTTGGGGGTGGTGAGTGCCTTTCAATTATAAACCAGTCTTAGGTACTCTAACTAACATTGGTTGTATAAGTTTCAAACGTAGTCACGATATCGAGAATTGGTTCGCGCGTACCAATTTCGCGAATACAGGTAACTTATATTAGAAACTCACATAATGTAACATGTTTTATTTTTTCTATCAGCTAAGACTGTGTGCGAGCTTGCGAAATCCAACCTCAGTCAAGTTGTGGTGTTAGCACATCCATCATCTATCACAGTAGACGACATCGATGGTATGAACTTTCAGTATTTGAATTATTTCAGAATGTGCATATTCAAACAACGTTCATATTCTAGCGGTTAATTATTAGTCTTCCTTTCAGGTGTTAATGTTCCAATTGCTATACTTGGAGCTGGGCTTGACACAATCACTCCTCCAGAGGTTATAAAACAATTTGAACAAGTCTTGGCTGCTAAGTCTGGTGTAAGTGAAGCTTCCATTCTTTCTGTAGTTATCTACCATTATACATATATACCCTTTAAGATATTATCATTCATATGTATCCTTTTGTTTGTGCAGGTGGATAGTTTTGTGAAAATATTTCCTAATGTTTCACATGGTTGGACTTTGAGGTATAACACTGAAGATCCAGAAGCTGTGAAGGCTGCCGAAGAGGCTCATCAAATCTTATTGGATTGGTTTAATAAACATCTTAGATGAGAAATCTGTTAAAACTTGATTAATCAGTTATGGGTAAGTTACTGCTATGAACAGTTTGTCCATTAATTATGTCTATTCAACTATGTGTGCTTTGTAAAAATAAAAGGGAAAAAACTAAACAGGGAGGTTATCTTATCTTAGCATTCAAAGTGAAATTTGGAAAGGAAGAGTTCCAAGGCTCTTGCCTTAGAGGAGACTGTGTATGTATGGTATATTTCCTGTGTAATTTTACTTTTCTGCAATTGTCTTTGTTTGTCTTGACTTTGATTTGGGAATCTTTCCCCCAAAGAATCATTAATCAATAGATCAATTGTTATTAAGTTACAAATTCTACATGGTTCCTGTTTCTATCAATTGCTATCAACAGTGGCGAAGTCAGAAAATTTATAAAGTCTGAGCAAAAATTTAAAGACTGCAAATTCATTATATATAATATATAAATAGTCATCAAACAAAATAAAAGAGATGAAACATTACCTTACAATAGCGTGTTAAATAAAGTTACGAAGCAATGTAGTATGATGTGAACCCCATCTAGTATCTCTTGGTCTAGTGAGACTAGATGATTGGTGCAATTCCCTTCCTCTAGATATCTCACCCATCTCAAGTTTATTTAAAATATCTTGGTGTTGTGCCTCCATCAAAGCATCCTTTCTCTTACAAGATACACTTGTTGTGGTCACAATCAAAGAGATGTACTCAAAGAAATCATGAATAGATCAGCAACTACTAGCAACAGACACAACAACCAATTGCAAACGGTGAGCATAACAATGGACATAGAAATCATAAGGGGTTTCATCTAGAATCTTTCTTCGCAAACCATTAAATTCACCTCTCATACTTGAAGTTCCATCGTATCTTTGCACTCGTATCCTTGAAATAGATAACGTGTACTTATCAAGAATACCATAAAGAGCATTCTTTAATGACTCAGATGTAGTATCTTTGACATGATGTAGAGCAATAAATCGTTCCGCAACATATGCCCTTTTGTCGTTCAAAAACCTAAAATAAATTCAACAAGTTTACTTGGCGGCATAGAGAATAATAGGTAATGAAAATTGGAAATTGGAAATACAACTACTAACCTCAACATCACCGTCATTTGCTCTTTGATGGATATATCACTGATGGGAAATTCAACAACAATTAACAGTAACAACTCTAATAGAGCAATACACAGCGGATATAATTTCCCCAACTTGTTGAATCTGTGAGGAGCAACAACAAATAATGCAGCAACTAAAAATCAACAACACAAAGAGACACCAAGATTTTTAACGTGGAAAAAACCTTCTCAAAGTGAGAAGTAAAACAACCACGGGCACAAGCAAGTAAACAAGCTCCACTATGATCAATGTATGGGTACAAGAGAGTCTCAAATGTAGCACAAATCGTGCTCAACAATCAGCCAAAACAACAAGGCAACAAAACATGAAATAGAGAACAAAGAAGAACCAGAAAACTCCAAAGGGCTGCTACTGTGCATGGCCAATATCTCCCACCTCAGACTTCTGATCGCCGATCACACTGTTCAGATTGAAGAACCGGATGTCAGGAACATGCAGTTCAAATTTCGGCCAAATCGAACGGTGAACGAATGAGATATCGCGATTCTAGTGCAACTGCTATGTGTATGTGCGAAAATCTGTTTCTCTTCTCTTCTCTCACTTTTCTCTTGCCTCTCTTGCCTAAATCAGACCTCTCACTCTTACCCTAATTGACCCCTCTCCACTTAGATAAGTGAGACACATGGGCTTGCACATATTGGGCCTTTCTCCACATAGGATGGGAGCCCAAAATCCAACATATCTCCCCCTCACAACTATGTGGAGGTGATCGCCAAACCGGAGATCTCACAACAAGTTTCAAACTTGCTTCTCGGTAATGCCTTGGTCATCATATCAGCACCATTATCATCTGTATGAACCTTGGCCAATTCCAACAACCCAGCATCCAAAGCATCACGTATCCAATGATACCTAACATTAATGTGCTTGGTCCTAGAATGAAAAGTTGAATTCTTACCAAGATGAATTGCACCTTGACTATCACAAAATAGCAAGTATTTGTCCTGCACAAAACCAAGCTCCTGCAAGAATTTCTTCAACCAAATCAACTCCTTGCATGCTTCTGTAATGGCAATAAACTCTGCCTCAGTAGTGGACAATGCAACACATCTCTGCAATCTGGATTGCCATGCCACAGCTCCCCCTGCAAACTTAATCAAGTAGCCTGAAGTAGACTTTCTGGAATCAATGTCTCCAGCCATATCAGAATCAGTATAGCCCACAAGAGTAGGTATATCACCTCCAAAACAAAGCCTCAAACTGGTAGTACCATGAAGATACCTCAAAATCCATTTCACAGCATTCCAAAGCTCTCTACCTGGATTAGACAGAAATCTACTGACTGTACCAACAACATGTGCAATATCAGGTCTTGTACACACCATTGCATACATCAAACTCCCCACAGCAGATGCATAAGGAACCCGTTGCATATCTAATTTTTCAGCTTCATTGGAAGGACTCTGATTAACACTCAATTTGAAATGAGCAGCAAGAGGAGTACTTACAGCCTTAGCATTTTCCATCTGGAACCTCTGAAGCACCCTTTTAACATAGTGTTCCTGTGACAGCCAAAGTTTCTTCTTGTTCCTGTCACGCATGTGTTGGCTCCTAAATTCGACACCCTTGTTTTTATTAATATCAGCCATTAAAGCTAAAGGATGTTTTCGACCAGCTGGGTCTGTCGAAATGCCCATCAGAAGATGGCAATGTACTTAGAGGATTTTTTCCAAGGGAGAATTTGGTTGCCTTCGACGTCGAAGGTGTGGCTCGTCGAAGATGCCTCTCGACGAAGGTGTTCGATTGCTCAGAGTGGGATGGTTTGAAATTCAAGTGTTTGGAGGGAAAACGGTTCCCAGCGGTTACCAAGTGCAACGTGCAAAGATCTGGAGCGTCGAACGCTGAGAACGTGCCAAGTGGAGTCATCTCGAAGCAGTGTAACTTCCCGACGGTTACTTGGGATGTTTTAGTATAAATATTAGTAGTTCACGCAGTTTTTCGCGTGTGTTCACAATTATATACAAGTCACTCATATAGATTCGAGTACCCAGCGTGTGAGAAAGAATTGTTGAGAATGTATGTGTGAAACACCACTTTTATTAATCAAAGTCATTTATTTTCCAGAAACTTTACTTGCTTTCTCCTTTACTTTTCCTGTCGAAAACCTTTATTTCAAGCCTTCCTTTATTTTATCAAGTTCTCTTCTTCATGCAATTTACATAAAGCTTCTTTATTTTCTTGTCATTTAACCATTGTTAAACTTAATCAAAACCCCAAAATCAACCATGTCTTAGGATCAATCTGATCGATCCTGCGAGTAACCAAATAAGTAACCATTTGGAAGATCAGCGGTTGTTTACCAATAACCACGGTAAACAAATTGGCACACCCGGTGGGACTGTGTGTTGATTTTGAAGTCTAATCTGTTTACACAAAATATCGTCTTTTTCGAGGAGTGTTATATGTTATTGAGAAGTGGTAGAATATACACTAACAATACCAATACTGCCAGAAGAAGAGAAGAGATGGCGAATCCGCCAAACAATAACGAAATCCCACAAACGAATGTGGGATCAATGGTTATCCCAACCGTAAGTGAAGCGATAACCGCTGGTTCAACACCAGCAGTAACGATCACAACGACGGGGCCATTACCTCCGTTCACTGGCCCCAGAGTGCCTTTGGGAAGCCCCCCACCAAGGGGAAATTTAGGCACAAGGCCTTATGTTCCCCCGGGATTTATGACAGGCGGTCATAATCGAGAACCACTTTATGGCATGCCAACGTCTGATTTGGCTAGCCTAACGAACGCAACGTCCACTTTTTCAGACCCTTTAGTGAGTGCCTCTTCGCCACTCCAAGGTTCTGGAGTAGGTATGGCGAACAGAAATAGGACCCAACTCTTAGGAGGAACGTCCCAAGTAGCACATGGCCTTACAAATGCCTCGACAGCAGTCTTGAGGCAACAAATGGACGAAAGCAACCATGATATGGTTCAAATGCTGGCACAAACTTTAAGTACAGTGCTGAATCCTCTAATACAAAACACCACCCAATCGAATCAGCAGATGACAGCGCAAATGACGCATTTGGCTGATTTCTTTGGAGTACCCCAACCTATTCGACAGCCCCAAAGGGCGCCAATAAGGGGAAACCAAGGTATATTCTTAGAGGAAGAAACCACTATCAATCAAGGCCAGCAGCCTGTCGAAGAAAACCTTAGGACACGATTGGAGCAGCCAGTCGAAGAACCTAGGGTAGTAACCCCAGAGGTACGGTTAGTTAACAGACACCAAAATGCTGACGAAGTAGTTCAGCATATCCAATACCAAAATATGGGTTTGGAAAATAATCTGGCAACCATGATCGAAAGAATCATGATGCAAAATGGGATGAACATGGGCTTTCGTAGGCCCAACTTCACATCCCCACTGTCAGAATACGTGTTACAAACATATTTACCTCCTAGATGTAAAGTCCCTAAGTTCACTAAATTCTCTGGGGACACGACATAATCTACTGTCGAACATGTGGCAAGATACTTGATCGAAGCAGGAGATATTTCAAACAACGAAAACCTGAGGATTAAGTACTTCGCAAGTTCTTTAACAAAGAACACTTTTACTTGGTTTACAACTCTTCCCCCCAATTCGATCCATCATTGGACCCAATTGGAGAGATTGTTCCATGAGCAATTCTACATGGGACAAACCAAGATAAGCCTGAAAGAATTGGCCAGTGTAAAGAGACGTTTCACTGAACCCATAGACGAATATCTAAATAGGTTTAGGTTGCTCAAAGCAAGGTGTTTTACACAAGTGCCAGAACATGAGTTAGTCGAAATAGCCGCAGGCGGCTTAGATTATTCCATTAGGAAGAAGTTAGACACTCAATACCTGAGAGACATGGCCCAACTGGCCGATAGAG